CTGCACCTGCATGAATGGTAAATTTGTATAAGCAAAGATGACAAGGTAAATTGATAACTTAAAATAGTTCCTAGTTTTTTACAATATCTTATTAGTTTTCTCCTAGTTTTTTGTGCTGTTGCTTCCTAGTTTTCTCCTAGTTTTTTATAATGTACTGCTGGAGAGCCTGAAAATTATAAAATTCATAATAATCATAAAAGCCAAGTGTGGGTCGGTTGGTCATGCTCGATTTCTCCCAATTTTTCTTTCTCTCCTATGATACTTCCTCTTTTGTTTCCATTTTAGTTGAGTTTAATCTCTAACCTAGGCATAAATAGCTTCTAAATTTTGGCACTTTTTCTGCTATAGATGCGGAAGTGCATTCTCTCCGTATCAACTCCTGTGAAAAATAAGTAAAAAATTAGTGCAAATCTATGCTTGGGAATTATTACAGAAAAGCTTTTGTTAAAACAGATTGAAAATACCAAATATCTATAGGGAAGAGGACAATGTGCATCTGGGTGACACCTGAACACAACCTGAACATGCATCTGTGGTTAAAAGATGCCAGCTGTGTAACATAGAACTGCAAACAACAGCTGAAGTTGAGTGAAATCTTAATTTGTATTTTCTATACTATGTTTCTAATCACTAATCAAATAAATTTAACCAAGCTAAAAATATTTTGTATTCTTGTCTTAACAGCTAAAAATAAAAGAAGCAAGACTAGGCTTGAACTGGCTGACAAACAATTTGAATGCATGCCAGATCCTGTATGCGAAAACCTCAGATATCATGCAACACCTGAACTTTTCCAATCAAAATTAATTTCTGAGCAACAATTTCTCAAAAACATGTAAATTATTGTATGGAATAGTAATGGCACAATTATTTTGAGAAAATTGGGGGAAAAGAAAAAACCACGGATAATGGAGGTGCAGATAATTGAGGCACTATTGTACCCCCATTTCCCAGTACAAACAATAGTGAAGTTAGGTTAGGCACATCTGGCTCCTGCGTTTTTAGGCTTGCTCCTAGATCTGAAAATATTTGTCGAGGCCTGTTTTAAAGACATCAGCTCATTGTAAAATATTTCCCTTAATTTCCCTAAGCTTCACTCAGACTTACAACAGTTCTGTTGTAGCTTGGTGCCATTATTGAAAGCTGTGGTAAGTTTGCAGTATTTAATTTCTTTTGTGAATGTTAATTGTGCAGTAGAATTATTTTAGAATATTGCTATCACAGCTTGGAACTTGTTTTAAAGTCACTTGTATAGTTTTAATTAACATAACTATTTGACTTTCCTAGAAATTCTTATCTATGACTTCAAAGTCTAAATGTCATGTTTTGAGTCAGTCAGTAGAATTTTGCTATTACTAAACTGAGGCATATTGATCAACATGTGATTATTTTAACATAAAACTGATAGTAGATATCACCTTATACCAAATGAGAGGGCATAAGATGATAAGTTTACTAAAGAACATAAAATGTGTGCTCCCCAGTGGCACAGTGATAAGTCTGCAGACTTACAACACTAGAAACAGTGTTTCAACACCCGTGGTGGGCAGAGCACAGATAGCCCAAGGTGTAGCTTTGTGCTTAACTACAAACAAACAAATACAATATGTGACATGTTAAACATTAAAGAAAGAAAGATCCTCTTGATATTAACTGCAGAGCTTGAAATTAGAAGTGGCTAATTGATAAAAAACAATGGTTTCTAATGTTTATTAAATGACTGTCAAGGAGTCAGTAGTATTTTTTTTCCAGTTGATAAACAGTCATGGATATGAATACTGAGATCAGTTACTAACAACAGTTAAAAAAAAAATAAGTTGGCTGCAAAGCACATATTTCTATGGGATTTCCCAAGTTTACAATAGCAAGTAAAAGCAGTATGTAAAGTGATGTTTCAGTTTTTTATATCTTTTTTTTTATTGGATAGTAGAAAATGTAATTGTTATCAAAAGACATAAATTTAAAATTTGATAACATTTCAAAAAATAAAGTTAAAATGCAACACTTCCTGGAAATTCACATTAGTTATATTTTTTAAGGGCACGTAAGTTTTGAATCCTTTTTGCAAGTTACTTTAACATAAAATTTTCTGTTATAGATTAATATGTTTAATAAACTCAGTGCTGTTGTGTCATAGCTTAGGAAAATACTGTCCTTAGCTGTCTTTTCAGAATGTATTCTTTGAAGAGACAATATTAGTGTCGTTAAAGGTTAACATGATTGATTGATCATATTATTTAAGAATTTGTAGCTTATCATAAGCTGAATAATAAAAATGTTACTTTCCACTACTTTCCATTTGCTATTTTAACATTAATGAAGCAGCCAGAGAATGGATTATTCAGGTTAAGTTTATTATGGCATTCTGTACTTAATTGGTTTTTTGTATGATGACTTTATACTTGTAGACTTATAGTTCCTAAGTGGATTGGCATCACCACATATTTTTGTGTTGATGGGAGTATATAAGATCATTGATCTTAATAATATAGACCAACAGCAGCATTTAAGTTTTAATCATGTTTATCAAAGTTTGCATTATATAGGTAAACCTGTGTTTTTCATGCCTTATCGGTGACTACATGTTTTCATTGGCTCTGATTGTTTCAATTTTTTCAATATTGTAGATGATAAGATTATTATTTTAGCATTTTTGTATAAACGTAGACTATATCTTTTTAGTATCAATTTAAATAATAATACAGAAATAAAGTTTGGTATTTAAGTTACACTTACAAAGTTAAACCTAACTCAGAATATGCTAGGCATGAAAATAGCTTCTTGTTTCACAGTTTGAGATTTAATTGACTGAATTTGTAAGCTAGTTATATCAAAGATATATTCTAAACTATACTCTACAGTGAATATAGCAATCCTTGTTCAACTTTCTTTTTTACTTTCTTTTCGTTAAGGCCTCAAACAATGCCATAAAGCTTTCATTTACTTCTTTAAGCCTAATGTCTGATACATATTAGTGTGTGTACAATATTAATTATATATATATATATATATATATATTCTTATGTTTAGTAGTTTGTACTTTTTCATGTAAATTGTTTCTTTCAGTTGAAATTTGAAGATCAGGTAAATTGTGATATCTTTTTACATTACAAAAATCTACTACTTACCCAACTTATGAAAAACTGAGTTTGGGTCGCATCAAATGGAAAGTGTTAGAATTGCTTGTACTCAAGAGACCTGATGATAAAGACAATAACACACATTGAATTATGTAATATGTAGATTTTATTATATTATTATTACACATCAGTCAATGCTAATGAATTAGGAACTATGGGTATGGCAGATCAAGCTAAAGAATTTAAATCTGAGTAAAAAAGTTTGTCAACTACATATCAATGCATATTATTAGACAAAATTTGATAATATGTTTTTGTTTTATTAGATGCACTTATAAACTTTCTGTAGTGTGTTATACTTGTGTATTGTGCTTTAGAAAACCAGTAGTCAGTGTGAGGACAGTTTAAAAGAAAAGCTGAATGACTGGCCAACAAAAGCAGTTGAATACATTATTTACTGTAAAAAGTGGATGAACAAACACATATCTGTCTTGCTACAGCTGGTGAGTTTCTGTTATTTTTTGTTTAAAGTGAGTGCTTAATTTTTAAGTACAGTGCCATAATTACTTATGGCTAGATTTAACACTTTTGTTGCCATGTGTCCCACCAGTGGGTCACAACTGACTTTTAGTTATGGACTGTGTGACACATTGATGGTTCACAGACAATTATTTTTCAAAGCCAAATTTCTCTTGTGCATATAAGTTTGGGACACTGAGACTGCTCCTTGGCACCTCTTGAATGTTTAATTATTTTTATACTTAATTTTATTATGAAGCAGCGAATTTGTTAATTGAACAGCGTGGGTGAACATTGACATACATATGTACTGCAAATGTAGTTTAAAAGCTTTTTTTCATAATTAATTTTGAAGTAGATGTATCTTGACTGTCCGTAAGGTAATTACATAATGAAGATATGTCACATGGTTTTTCATATAAGGAAACTTTTGAATATATGACCTAAAAATGTTGTTGTGAATTACCTTGCGAGTACATGAATAACCTATGACTTGATGTTTACACTATAATTAGCTCGTAAGCACATATACTTTCTTAATGGAGTATTTTTTCTAAGTGCGTGTCATTTGATGTTGTTATTTAAAGTTTAAATGTATTTAAATATGCCATTTGTTTTTGATTCAAGCAAACTGCTGGATTACAATAATTTGAAGAGTTCAGTTTAGAGGAACCACTATTACTTAGATAACCAGTTATGGTTCACTTTGAGACTCTGACCAGTTCACAGATATTCAAACTGCTACTTGAAGCCATAGTTTCTGGATTTATTTTACACTTGTTTTATTTAATTGTTTGAACAGTGTGCATCGAAACTTGATTGTTTTCTAAATTTGCTTGTTTAGCCATTCCACATTCAGCAAATAATGATTATGATAGTTTAAAACTTTAGATGCTTTGCATCAAACAATTAAATTTATAAACAAAGCATGCAAAAATTTACTTTCTGTTTGAGTTTAAACATAAGAGCATAGGTAGTTACCTTAATATGTCAGCTAGTCTGAACTATTTCATGTGTGTTGTTCTGAAACAGAGGACTGATTTAACATTCTGTTTGTCTTTTAATGCATTAGTAAGTAATCAAGACTCAACACAGAGGAAAATATGGGTTTAATTAAACCTGTGATCTGCTTTGGCATCACAGTGACACATTCACAGTTCTTAAACAATGTATTTTTAAGTCAAATCAATTAATTGGTAACAAATTGGTTCAAACATGACAAGTAACATTGTGACACTTCTAGTTCATATGTGATGCTTTCAAGCCTTCTAATATAAGTTACTGAAAAACATGTATTCATTCTTTTTTCTGTGCGACAGCAAAAAACCTAAAGCTTTATCAAGCACTTACAGAACATCTAAGACTTGTTTTATAAAAGAACATTCAAAATGTAATCTAATTCAGAGATTTTCCCAAAGAAATCTTAAAAATGTTGTTTTAACTCTTTTCAACCAGGGCTTGGTCCCTGGAACTGACCTCGTAACCATTTTGTGCTTGTTATAGTTTTCATGCTATAACTTTTAAATTAGTAAGCGAATGTTAACGAAATTTATCAGTAAACATTACAATGCTTTCGTATGCAAAATATCTAAATTTTTTATTAAGTCTTAAGGTTTGTAAAGCAATGTTTCTCTCG